TCAAAATTTTTGGAAGGTTTTTTTTTTTTTGTTTTTTTTTTTTTTTCCTTTTTTTTTTTTTTTTTGGTCTTTTTGAGTCAGGGTCTCTCTGCAGCCCCAGCTGGCCTGGAACTCACCATCTTACTATGTAGACCAGGCTGACCTTGAACTCACAGAGATCTTCCTGCTTCTGCCTCCAGAGTGTTGGGATTAAAGGCTTGCACCACTGCACCCAGCTTCATTCTTTTTCTTATCTTCACTGTTTGGTTATTTTATAATTGTCTGTTGCCAGGTGCTTAGATACCCAGTCCAGGAAAATGTCTTAAAATGACAGTTCGACATTAGCCTAACCCAGGTTTTGGTGTCAACTTGGCTATGACCCTTGTATTGAATAGACAACCTATACTGGCCTTAGTATGTGTATGCTTAGCTGCCACTGCCTACTCTAGACATAGAACCCATAAAACCATGCCATTACCCTTACTGAGTGTGTCTTTCCCTCTTCAGATTTCTAAAAGCCCTTGTCCTTAAGCCCAGATATGTCTCTTTTTCTCCAATATTTTATTACATAAAATTTCTAACATTTCAGAGCCCTGGGAAGAATTGCATAGGGAACATACATTTACCCATTGCTTAGATTCTGCCATCAACATTTATACAGTTTCCTTATCACATACCTGCCCATCCATCCCTCACTGTGTCTAGCCATGAGTCCATCTCTTTCCAGGATGTACCTCAACATAAGTTGTAATCTTCACTCCCATGCTAGAGCGTGAGTATCACTAGCTAGAGTTCAGGGGGATTTTGTTGTTGTTTATAGTTCTGCTTTCTTTTGTGTGTACATATGTGCGTGGTGTTTGCATAATTGTCTGTGCGTGTTTGTGTATGCATGCAGTTGCCACTGTGAGCATGTGAAAGTCAAGGATAACCTCAGATGTCAGACTTCTCCCTCTGCCTCGTTTGAGACAGGGTCTGTTTGTTCCCCTGCATATACTAGGCTAACTGGCCTAGAGACTCCTAGGATTTCTCCTCTCTTCACTTCCCATCTTGCTGTAGAAACACTGTGATTATAGACACACACCCCCACACCCAGCTTTACATTGAATCTAGGGATTCTAACTCAGGCCCTCATGCTTGCACAGCAAACAGTTTACCTCTCGAGCCCCTGTTTTTCCTTTGAAGTAGTATTTACCTACAGTGGCGTGTACAGATAGAAGCATGCCATTTGCCAGGTTTATCAAACACACCTATACATATCCAGACTTCATCACCCACTGGTAGGTTCCTTAGCACTTTCCCAGGTGTCCCCTACTCCTGACTTCTCAGAAGCAGCTTTGCTTCTTTTTGTTTCTACCATAGGTTAGTTTTGTCTTCTTTAGAATTTCATATGGGGCAATCCTATGGCATACAGTTTTTGATGTTTTTGAAATAATCTATGTGGTTATAGCAATAAGTTGTTTCTCCCCAGTGCTGAAATGTGCAGATCTGCTGGCTCCTTGCTGCAGGCTCTTTTTGATTTCTTATATCTCTCACTGCTGTGTCTTTGGAGAAAGGGAATGCATTAAGGCATGAACCTTAATGAAATTCAATAGTTCAACTGGTGTGGGTTCATTCTACATACTCCTGTTTAGAGTGAGTAAACTTAGCTGGTTTGTAATTTTACTAGACATTTAATTTAGCCTCTAAAATTTCCCTTCAAGTTTGTTTTGTGTGTATTGTCAGAGTTTATATTTTTGCACAATTTATATTGTATATATGTGAATATTAGGCAAATGGAGGGCTATATTTGATATTTTGCTTTTTTAATCTTTAAAAGTTTGTATATATGGGGCTGGAGAGATGGCTCAGCAGTTAAGACCACTGGCTGCTCTTACAGAGAACCCAGATTCAGTTCCCAGCACTCACATGGCAGCTAACAACCATCTGTAACTCCAGTTCCAGGGGATCCGACACCCTCTTCTGACCTCTGCGGGCATTGCATGACATAGGTGCACTTATGTACATGCAGGAAATCCACATAAAATAAAAATTAACAAATTTTTTTTAATTGTAGAAATTTTTGACATTTTCATAGTTCCTGTGCCTCATAAATCATAACAGACAGTCTGAATATTGAGCATACATTTTTCATATCTTTTAAGAATTTAATTCTATAATGGTTGTGCTGTTTATATTAAGTGTAATTTATCTACAACCACTGTGCTTCTTTATTGTTACCCACAATATAAAGAAAAGAACTCTTTATTTTGAAGTGTGTGTTGATCCATCCAGCTAAACAATACATTCCAAGTCTGTGAGACCTCCAACCTGCCTTAATTCTAGATTGATTCTGCAAGGTAATTGGATTCAGTGGCTTGGCCTCTTTTCCTGACACTTATTTTAATAAGAAATCACTAATGGAGCCTAATATACTTTATATGTGACGTAAAGTTTCAAAAAATTTTAAAATTATGCTTTATTTTTACCTTCAGGTTTGGTTGGGATGTTCCAGTAATTCTGAGAAATTCAGAAGAGACCCAGTTCAGCACAAGAGTTTTCAAAAAACAAATGAAACAAGTCAAGAACCCTTTCGGCTTAGAGATCACTAACCCAGCCACAGCTTCAGTAACAAGTCGGTGCCTATTTTCTAAACATTCTCTGTCATTGTGTAGCCCCTGGGTAGTACTTTTCTTTTCTTTCTCTATTGCTTTCTCTTCATTGAATTTTTACCATTTATCAAACACCTATTTTGTTCCAGAGGAACTGCAGATGGGAGATGAAAGTTTTATAACTATGGAGGAGTTTACCAAGTAGAAAACAGAGGCAGATATATATAAAAAGGAGTCTGGGGTATTGCCTATATTCATGAGCAGAATTTGCTAGGGTTCTGTGCCACTTGCATTGGCCTTCATTGACATGAGGAGTGATGGACTATGTCTAAAGATCTTCTGGAGAACAACTGACTTTTACTCTGAAATTATGATATTTTGGTATAAATTATTTTCTTATACTATGCTACTTTTTATGTGGTAATAATATTTGGCAGTGGTTTGCTTCTATAGCTGGAAAATAAATTGTTAGCAGGACCACTTAGCCATTGCGGTGAATTATAAAGAAGGGAATGTTAAGGTTTGCTGCAGTAGAGACATATTTAGGAAAGTCTTCACAGAAAAGAAGGTGCTGAGTCTCTCCTATTCCCCCTACCTCCTTTGGAATAGTTTTAATCGAAAGATAAGTAGGTGTTCACCTGGTGTTTGAGGTAGACAAAGAAAAGCACCGAGGTAGGTGAAAAACAGTGATAAATTAGCGAACAAGAAGCCGTTTTTGGCTCAAACAGGGTGGGATAGGTGTGAGGGTTAGTGTTAACTGTTGATAGAATCTAGAGTCACCTGGGGGATGGTCCTCTGGAGGATTATCTCGGTTGTGTCCATTGAAGTGGGAAGATCCACCCACTGTGGTTGGCACTGTGCCCTGGCTGAGACCCTGGACTGTATTAAATGGAGAAAGGGAGCTGAGCAGCAGCTTGTCCTCTCTCTGTTTCTGACTGTGGATGTGACCAGCTGCTCCAAGCTCCTGTCACCTTGGTTTTCTTGCCATGGTATACTGTCTCTTGAACTTTGAGCCAAAGTAAACCTTTCCATCTTAAGTGTCCTTTGTCAGGGCCTTTTATCACAGCTGCAGGGAAAGCAGTCAAGGCAACAGGTAAGAGAAAAGAGTCGAGGAAGGCTCAATTCTTTTCTTCTTTTTTTTCTTAAGACAGAGTCTCACTATGTAACCTCAGCTGGCCTAGAACTCATTATGTAAACCAGGCTACCCTCAAACTTAGAGATCCACCTGCCTCTGCCTCCCAAGTGCTGGGACTAAAGGGCACTACCACACCCAGCCCAAGACTCCATTCTTTGTGTGGGTTCCCCATAGGCAGTTCCTATACAGGGACAAAGAGTAGAGGAGGAATGGCAGGCTTTGGAAGTACTGAATTCAGTTTTGAGCTTTTGGACTTTGAAATGCTTTTGTGACAGTTCAGTGGAGACAGAGTAAGTGGTTCTAGAATCCAGTCAAAGGTTTCTGGGCTGAGGTGCTTGCCTTTCACCTGATAACCTTTCATCTCTCAAAAACAGACAAATCAAATCTTTCTCAGTTTTTCACCTTATTCTAGCCACTGCCCATCTTTTTTTCCTTCGAGTATAAGTTCTTAAAAGCTGTTCACAATTGGGCTGGGGAGATGGTTAAAGTGCTTGCCATACAAACATGATACAAAATGCCAGATGGGTATGGTAGCCTGCCTATAACTCCAGCCTTGAAATTCAGACACAAGGGATCCCCAGAGCAAGCTGACTGGCAAGACTAGTCATATCTGCAAGCTCTGAGTTTGACTGAGAGATCCTGCCTCAATGAATAATGTAGAAGAGTGATTGAGGATGATTCTGATGTCAGCCTCAGGCATCCATATGCTGGTGCATCCATACACATGTACCCATACACATGTGTCCACAAGCATGCCTACAAACATACATGCGTACCACACAAACACACACGCATGCATGAAAATGCAAAAAGAAAGAAAAAAAAACCTTCAAATTTGCTTTCTCCTCTTTTGCTCTTTCCTGTGATGCAGTCTGACTTCTCCCCTTGTCCTGCTACTGACATGGCTCTCCCCAGCATCACTGATGACCACTTCTGCATCCCACCTGTGGCCTTAAGTAGTCCATCAAAGCCAGCAGAAGTTTTTCAGGCCTGAGTTTATGCTGTCACTGCAGTAGCTGTATTGCTGTCTAGTCTTTCCTTCTTGACTCTGTGTCCCATGACTTCTGTGGACCATTCTTAATTATTTGTGACTTCTAGAAGCTTGTCACCTGACAAGATTTGAGTTTACTTAGTCAATGTGGATCATTACCTAAGAAAATCATTTTTTTCCCTCTTAAAGACAGGGTTCTCACACTGTATCTCATGTTGGCCTATTAACAGTATAGCCTAGGTTGGTCCCAGCAAGTAACTATTGATTTATAAGAAAAAAGTACAAAATTTCTTATTCTTCCTCCTTAACTTTAAAGAATATCACGCTTTCACCACAATAGTAGATAAGGGTTTATCCTGACATTTTTTTCACTTTAGAAAATTAAATTTTAAGAAATGTCACAGAAAAATGTACCTTTTTAGAAAGAAGGCAATAGGTTGTACATTCCTGATTTAAATATGCAGAATAATAGAGTTTGGTGATTTTCTCCACCCCCACCCACCTAAAACCATGATGTCACATCTGGCTCTTATGCAAGAACTCCAATTTAAAAAAAATGACCATCCATCTTCCTGCAGTCCAGTTCCACAAGCCTGGAAATATACCAAAAGAGTGAGAAGAGCTGATAACATTGTGAGCTGAGCACAGGAAACTCAGGAACTAGGAACATGAACAAATCCATCCATCTACCTTTCAGGCAGAAATAATCACACACAGAAAAGACTGCCAGTAAGTGCACCTCTCAGCTGTGTTCAGGTACCAACAGTATTCAAGTACATGAAACAAATATGCATACTTACAGTGTGATTACTTAAAGACTCAATTCTTAAAAACAGTAATAGATATCATTCCTTATTTGTTCTCTATGGGGGAAATGAGGATTTGGGTGGAAGTTATAAGAATAAAATTTATTTGTTTAACTTGTGGAAAGGTGGGTATTCTTAATGATACCTACACAGGATGGTTAAATAATCTTGTGACATTGTAAAAGGTTGTTTCATTTTAAAAAGTATTTTATGAGTGTATTGCCTTCATGTATGTAAGTGCATGCGTGTCGTGCAATACCTGTGGAGGTCAGAAGAGGGGATCACAGTCCCCTGAAACTGGAGTTAAGGATGCTTGTTAGCTGCCCTGTGGATGCCGGGAATCGAACCTGGGTCCTCTGCAAGAGCAGCCAGTGCTCTTAACTGCCGAGCCATCTCTCCAGCTCCCAAGGTTGTTTCATTTAATGTGTAATTTAATAATCTAGGATTTTTTTCACCACTGTAACCAAGTACCTGATAGATTGCACAGGAGAGAGAGAGAGGAAACATCGGGAGACATGATTTAACTTGAAAGCAAATGAAAATCATTTTAATCTGTTTACTAGGTGTAGGTTGTTGGGATTTTGTTACATAACAGTGCTATGTTTGGATTTGTGTCTAATCCATCTCCTCAATGTAGAGGCTTTAATGAAATTGTAAGTTAGGTGCTCAGTATATATTAGTTAAATTGAATTAAGTTGCTTCTGAAGCCTGTTGTCACATAGTAAACACCCCTGCGCCATACTGTGTTGTAGCATATTAGGAAGAGCTAACACACGTGGGAGCAATTTGCCAACCTCCATTCCCTGTGACCTTAACTCATCTCCAAATACCTTGACTTTATCAGCCTCCTCATGCATGGGCTCCGTTCACTACCTTCCTTCACGGGAAACCACCCTGAAGGTATGGCTTTCCCACCCTGTATTCCTCTTTTCAAGTGGCCGGATGCACTGACCTTTTGGTGTAAGGGTGCCTCTTGCTTGCGGTCTTCAACACACGTGGGAGCAATTTGCCAACCTCCATTCCCTGTGACCTTAACTCATCTCCAAATACCTTGACTTTATCAGCCTCCTCATGCATGGGCTCCGTTCACTACCTTCCTTCACGGGAAACCACCCTGAAGGTATGGCTTTCCCACCCTGTATTCCTCTTTTCAAGTGGCCGGATGCACTGACCTTTTGGTGTAAGGGTGCCTCTTGCTTGCGGTCTTCATTGCCTGTTGCAGCTGTACTGGATGAGGACAGGCTGAAAGAAGTCCCACCCATGCTGCTTTTGTCTCTGAACTTTCTGACTTACTTATATGTCCCAGTTTTGCCAATGTTACTGATGTAAAACAGTTTTGTGTGTGCACTGACATTTGGAAGAACAAGAGCACGTAAAAGTGAGGACTCCCTGCAGAAGTGGGAATATGGAGAGTAGTTTTGCATTGAAGTCGTGAAACGATCGTCACCAGGTGGTGATATTAGTGCAGTATCTTCTCAATTTATGTAATGGTCGAATATTAAAGACTGTAGGGAGGAGGTTTTGTCGATCCTACAATTCTTTTTCATTAGCTTATAATAATGCTTTTAGAGGCATATTAATGTGTGATTGATTACTTTTCAGTTGTCAGTGGTTTCAGTCACATGTCGTCATCGTTGCTGGAGCGCTGATTCTTTTTTTTTTTTTTTTTGGGGTTTTTTTGAAGCAGGGTCTCCCTGTAGCCCCCACCCCCAGCTGTTCTGGAACTCACTATGTAGACCAGGATGGCCTTGAACTCACAGAGATCCGCCTGCCTCTGCCTCCCAAGTGCTGGGACTACAAGACGTGTGCCACCACGCCTGGCTCTGATTCTTTTTTTGCAACAAATAAACTCATAGTTCTATAAGTTCAAATTTTTAAAGGATTTTTACTTTATGTATTTACATATATATTTAGTTATTTATAACTCGCTATGTAGACTACACTGGTCTCGAACTCACAGAGATCCACATGTCTCTGCTTTCTGAGTTGCTGGGATTAAAGGTATGTACCACCATGCCCAGCTTCTTTTATTCTTGTTTAATGTAAGCAGACATATATATGGATAGCTTATGAGATCAGTAGTCACACATGTATATGTATATCTACATGCTTTTTTCATTTAACAACATATTCTGAATATTATTTCATAGTGGTCCACACAGCTATTCTACTGTGCCTCAATTCTCTTTAATAGCTACATAGTACTTTCTTGTCGAATATAGTGTTCTGTTCATTTAACCTAGTATAGATAGACATTTGGGTTGATTCATTATTTTGCTATGATAACTAGTCTTGTAATACACACATCTTTCTACATTTTTTGCCAGTAACATAGTAATTAGTCACTTTCTAGGCTTTAAAATTTTTTTTTAAATGCTTTTTCTGTTTTTCTTTTTCCTGTATGTAATTTTTTTTTCTCCTGTCTGATGTGTGGTTCTCCAGTAACATAGAAAGCAGTGTGTATATGTGATGTTATATGTGTGTATAACTATTTTTCAATGGTATGTTTTTCTCCAGCTATTTTATAGCTCACAGAATTTTCTGTTCTTGAATTAATGCCCAGTTGGAATCCTATAAGTATTTGACTTATTCAGATTTCATTCCAGTTGCCTATGCAGAGTTCCTACTAATGAAAATTTTGCTTAATTAACTATATGTAGCCTTGTGTCATTGCTGCTAAACACACCGACAAAGCGGGGAAAAGTAGAAAAAAAGTCCATTCTTGGAGCATTTGTTTGAACTGTGTGTCTTCTCTCACCGCTTACTCTTGACACATTTTAAAGCAGGGAGGGCATCAAGCAGCGTTCCTGTAGACACAGCAGAAAAGCCTCCAGAGAACGTACATCGAGGGGTTTGCCGGGTTGCTGCTTTAGCGAGTTGGAATCAAGCTGAGCTGCTGGCCAGGAACAGTGACCCACACTGCCGTTTTGGTCTGGTCGAGCATACTCTGCTGCCAAGCACTAAATGTCCCAGCTGGCCTTCTCGATAGCATGAGATACTAGATGTCTCTATCCTTGAACTTGGTAATGCTGCAGCTGCCATTAGAAAGGAGAAAAAAAAATCTTGTTGGTGGCACATAGTAAGTCCTATGTAAGCTTAAAATAAACAAAACACAATGCAATTTGTATATCCACCTAACAATTTATCCATTTATCAAGTCTATTCAAACTGTAATCTCTTTCCTTCCATTGAAAGCAAAGCAAAGCAAAGGATACTGCTATTAAACCTTCTGTGTTTTGGAATGCCCAACCTTTCCTCAGGGTATTTTGTATATTACACGAAACATTAACTGTGTGACACACTATTAATATTGTCCTGTATATTAATGAAGCTCAGTTTCTTCTTAATGCTTTTCTTACTCCATTGATCATCACCTGGACCCCATGAGTTGTATGTATGCACTTTGGAGATGACTCTTCTCCTCTTCTCTGCTGACTGATTCTTATAATTAGGACTCCATGTATTGTTAGAGAGGGAAAGGTCTTGGAGTTACCAAAAAGGAAAATTAAGCCGATATTTTTTAAGCTAAATTATAAATAATAAAAATGTGCTGAGAGTGCTGATAGTACTCAAAAACTGCATAACTATTGAGATTTTTATGTTTGTGGATACGTAACCTTTAACAGCTTTTGAAATTGTCATCAACCTGGCGCATCCAAAGCCAGGCTTGCTTTCCTCAGCCTCTGTAATATATCATAAGGTACATTTGGTAATTTCTGTTCTCTCTGGTTTGTTTTCTGTAGCCGGCATAACCTTGACAACAGATTGCCTTGAAGACAGTTGCCTTACCTGCTACTGGGGGTGCAGTGTCCAAAAATTATATGAAGCGCTACAGAAACACATCTATTGCTTCAGAATAGCCACCCCCCAAGCACTGGAAGATGCTCTGTATAGCGAATATCTCTACCGGGAGCAGCATTTGTATCCTTTTATCTGATGTGCTCATTAGCACATGAAAATGAGACACTTTGTGAATACAGTAAAACATTGGCAAGTCATTGACAGTTTGTAGTATATTTTTGTTCTTTCGGCTCTGGTGGCAATTTACCTTTACATAGTAAAAAGTATTAAAAAGGACAGCAAAGAAGAAATTTATTGCCAGCTACCAAGAGATGCTAAAATCGAAGACTTTGGTGCAGTTCCCAGATCTTGCTATCCATTGGTAGCACTGTTGACTTTAGCTGATGAGCATGACCGGGAAGTTTACGATATTGTAAGTAATTGAAACATTCTGAAAAGCATTACCTTGAAGTGAGTTGGGTGATTCTTAATTACTTTTGAAATAGAAAGAAATGATTTCAATTTCTGAAGCTATGCATTTGGTTTGGACACGTGTCTTTTTAAAAGGGAGCATAGATTGTACCCCTGTTTAATTTTTATAGTGTAACACATCTTCAGAGTAGGATGAGTTTTTTTCCCCCTTGTGGACCACAACAATATGACTTTGTTTGAAATATAAAAGATATATTATTGCTGAATTAGCCTAGTTTCATCCCTCTATATTTGGTAATGTTTACTGTAGAGAAAATGTCTTTTAAAAATATTTTATCATTTTTAATTTTTTTTGTGTGCGTATGAATATATTGCCTATTTGTATGTAAGTGCACCCACGTCATGCAATGCCTGCAGAGATGAGAAGAGGGTGTGAGATCCCCTAGAACTGGAGTTACAGACAGTTGTTAGCCACCATGTGGGTGCTGGGAACTGTACCCAGGTCCTCTGCAAGAGCAGCCAGTGCTCTTAACTGCTGAGCCATCTCTGCTGCCCCGAGAAAATGTCTTTGGGGGAAGTGTACTTATTCTTAAATGTATTGTTGTTGTTGTTTGTTGTTAAGGTGTCCTAGGCCAGAGAGCATAGATAGATTTTTAACTTTCATTTAAAAAAAATTTATGTGTATGAGTATTTTGCCTGCATGCATTCATGTGTGTGCAGTGCCACTGGAGTTCAGACGAGGGTGTCTGGTCCCCTGGAACTGGAAATACAGCTGGTCCTTAGCTGCCCTGTGGGTGCTGGGAGCTGAACCTGGGGTCCTCTGTAAGAGTAACCAGTGTTCTTAACTGCTGAGCTCTCTCTCCAGCCCCATTCTTAATGTTTTTAGAACTGAATAAATCAATATTTTAATGACTTAAGTGCTCAGTTTTAAGACTGTGTCTTCCCTTTTCTATGCATAGTTATTGTCACCTGGTTTTTATTAGAGTTCTGTTCACACCCGCGTCTTATGGCTAGAGTCTCTATGTTTTCAGTAATTTTAATAATTTTGTTTTCTCATCATGTGCTAATTATTTCTTTAGACTTGGTAGTTTACCTCTGGTGGGAACAGAAAAGCATCTTTGTAATCAAAGAGGTCCTGAGCCTTGACAGTCCTCTTCGTATGATAGAAAATTATGTAGGTTAAGCATCCCCGACCTCAAAAATCTGAATATTTTGAAAACATGTTGCCATATGTGGAAAATCCTAAACCAACCTCATCAACCATTCACACTCAAATGTGTGAGCACTAAACATCCTGTTGAAATTTATCTTCAGGCCGTGTTTTATAAGGTGTACCTGAAGCATAAATAAATTTTCTGGTTAGATTTGGGTTCCATCTCCGACCCCAGGATCTCATTGTGTGTTATATGCAAATATACCCAAATCTAAAATCCAAAGCACTCTTGTTCCAAGTGTTTCTGATAAGAGAAACAACCTGTGCATGTAACAAACTTTTGGTGAAATTTCATCATGGCAATAATGCCCTTATACACAATTTGCTGCATTCCTGAAGTGTTTGGCATATTCATTGGTAAAGATAACATTTTAATGAAAATTTGTGTAATGTTCAAAGTATATTTGCTAACATTAACTCCCTTTTCCTCTCACCAAACAGTGTGTGTTAGAGCAAAAGTCCTTTACAGACTAAAAGCAGAGTACGGAAAAAACCCAGTCCAACTGTGCCGCACCCCTTTCAGTGCTGGGGGCCAAACCCAGCGTCTCAGACATGCGAGACAAGTGTCCCACTACTGAGCCATGTCCCTTTCTACACTTAAAAAAACCAAAAGATCGTCATGATAAATGTTCTTTGAACTTTGACAGTGCAGGATTTTATTGGAAAATGTGACTCTGATTATTTATAGTTAAATGTCTCAAACTTTTTTTTAAAGCCAAACTGAAGAGTTATTTATTTAATTTAAAATTTTTTCATTTTGTTTGCTTCCCAATTAAAAGATTCAGAGAGGGAGAACATGGGGAAATATAGATCATGGGTACAAAGCTACAGGAATACAGGATGAACAGATCTGAGGTGTAATATATAACATGAACACCACGTTAGTAATGCTCAGAGTTTTGCTAAAAGACTAGGTGTTCATGCCACAGAAAGAAAAGCGATAACTTTGGAAATAATGATTGTGTTAATTTGCTTGACTCTAGTAACCATCTCACTGTGCATATTACATCAGAACACAATGTTGTGTACCTCAAATATAAATACAGGTTTTTTAAAAAGGCTATATGGGCCAGTGGGTGGCTCAGCTTGCCCTGCAAGCCTGGTGACTTGAGTTCAACCCCAGAGCCCACTAAAGGTGAAGAAAGACAACTAATTCCACAGAATCATCTTCTGACTTCTAAGCATCCTCGTACCCCCCCCAAATAAGAATAAATTAGAGTTGAAAAAAGCCATGGCAACAGTAGCGTGTTTCCAGAATGTGGCCTAGTACTTTGAACACAATAGCTGCACGGTGAAGGTTTGGTTAAGTGGGGCAGTGGGGACCGGAAATCCTACCATGCAATGTTAGTGAACGTCACCGAAGCAGACAGCAAAGCTTCCTGGCTACACACGCATGAGTGAGTTCGCCTCCCCCTTCCATTTTCAGTTACAGATACACAGGACTTAAGTTGGGGCTTCATATTCCTCGTCTCGTAGTTCGTACCTACCTCCTGGGCCAGGAGCTCTTTTCTCACCACCGTGTGCGCCTTGTAAGTTCCTGAATTCTGTTCCCCTACGTTTCCCATCTATTTAAAACAAAGGGGTGTGACTTTAGTCATTCTGACTCCCAGCTCCTGGCCGGGTGCTTTCCCTGTACGTGTACAAGTGCTCGGGGCTTCCTTCTTTGCTTTGACTTTTTACTCCATCTGAACAGGATGGATTTTTTTTTTTTTTTTACATGTGGTAAACTAAATAGAGTAGAAAATTTACTATTTTAATCACTTAAGTTTAACATTCAGTGGCCTGTAAAGAGAGAATTTGCTTTCAGGTCCTCGAGGTAACTGGGATGAAGCTGCTTGGGCAGCTTGTTCCCACAGGGTTTAGCATCCTCTTCTGTGCCTTGTGAAACCTGGCCTGTCTGCATCCGTGTTTGTCTTTCATACTTATCTGGGTGCTCCCTCCCCTTTTTTCTGTTAATTTTTTGCTTCTCTTTTATCTCAGATTTGGGCTAATTTTGGTGGTAGAGCACTCTTATAGTATATTTTACAGATGTTTATATTATTTGTTCCTTAATTGTAAAACCAAACTAAGTATTTCATATTTGTTTTTCATACATAATTTCCAGTATTTTATCTGGGAGTCATGGACACTAAATAAAAACAAAAACAAAAACAAATGCTCCCATTTCCATTGTGACAGAAAGGAATTACATTTTTCTGTCTGTCTGTCTACCTATCTATCTGTGCTGATGATTGAACCCAAAGCCTCATGCTGCTAATTAAGTACTCTACCACTGAGCTATGTCCCAAGCCCAAGAATTAACTTTATGTAGTACAGTTAGGAACCAGCTTGGTTTGTTCTTTAAATCAGTGAAAGAGGCAAGGATTATTATTATAAGGTTTTGACTTTAAACTTTAACATTTTTACTGTATTATTTTATTTTTATTCCTATATTATCCAAATAGCATGTATTTGTGGCAGAGGAAAAAAAAAAAAAAAGAATGGCAAAGCTAGCAAGCCAAAAGGAGGAAAATTTAGTCACCTGTTTTTTCTGTCATCCAAAATTTAACACCTTGACTCTAGGCCTGGATCTTTCCAGACCTTGATAATGTTCATTTTGAAGAAAAGGACTTCTTTCTTTTAATAGTATATTTGAACAGCTTTTCCATCTATGCACCTATGTGCATTGATATATACCAGCATGATAACAGCTTCAGAGGCTGCACTAAATCAGCCTCAGGAGTTTTACACTGACTCCATAGCATTGTGGTCTTCTACCAGTTATCTCTTTGATTTAATACTAAATCCTAAAACCTGTAAAGAATGTTATATTTTCACAACCCTAGTAGTTTTGCAGCCTTTCTTTTGTACAGGCAGGTGGATCTCTGTGAGTTCAAGGCCAGCCTGGGCTACATAGGGAGTTCCAGGCCAGCTGGGGCTACAGGGAGACCCTGTCTCAAAAAGAACCCCCCCCCAGAAAAAGTAAAAGAACATTTCAACATTATTGTTTGTTTGTATGTGCAGATGCCATGTAAGTATATCATATGGGATCATATATGTATTAATTTTTAATTTATTTTTATGTGTATGAGTTTATTGCCTGCCTGTGTGTAAGTGCACCCGTTTTGTGCAATGCCTCCAGAGGTCAGAACTCCTGGAACTGGAGTTATGGACAGTTGCTAGCCATCATATGAGTGCTGGGAATTGAACCTGGGTCCTCTGCAAGAGTACTCAATGCTCTTAACCACTGAGCCGTCTCTCTAACCCCCCATATATGTATTTTAAATGAATGATTCTACAGTCCAGTTGTAGTGTGGTATCTCTTTATCCCTAGATATTCGCCATGTGTTTTCACATAATGATGCTCCCTTATGTAACATCAACACAGTTAACAGCGTTACAGATTTAACATTTCATAATGTTTTATCCAGCCTCTTGTTCATACTCCAATGTATCAGTCACTTTGCAATATACTAACAGCTGAAGATGCAGCCTGATGCTTCCAGGTGGAGTCTGAGAAGTTTGAGCCTTAGCAGCCTCCACCCAGGGAAACTAGGATCTTAAACGCTGCAGAAAAGAATTTCAAGACAAGTTAGTTTGAATCAGAGTTGAATTTATTAAGATCAGAAAATGAGAAAGTACATGCTTTAGATTTAAGCACATTCAGAGAAAGGAAAAAAAAAACCCACTGACTTTCTTAGTAGCTATGTATGTGCTTTTGTGAGGGTTTTGTTTTTTTTTTAAGTTATGTTACTCAAATGATGTAATTTATAACCAGATTTTAAAGATTAGGCCAAGTTTCAAGATTG